GTTTTAAGGTTTTTTTTTTTTTTTTTTTTTTGTGTGTGTGTGTGTGTGTTTTGGGGGGGGTCTGTGATTTGAACTCAGGACCTTGCACTTACCAGGCAGGCATGGTGCCACTGAGCTAAATCCCCAACCCTGAAGGGGTTTATTTATTGACAGTCATATAATTTTTATTTCAGCTTTGATAATTTTTTAAATTGTCAATTGAACTTTTAAGTAATTAGTGCTTATATACTGATTACTTTTATGTTATGTATTTTTATCTATTGATCAATTGGCTGGTTAATTTTGATTTGAGGATTTAAATGGCTAAAACATTGCACTATATTTCTAGGAGATAATTTCTCAGTGTACTGTTTATCTTCTGTTTAATGCAGATGTTTAATTGCAAATGGTTAGTATCCCACATTGAACACGGGCCTTGCAAATAGTTTAATATGATCAAGTGAACCATTTTTATTTTGGTCAAACTTGCTATTGACATAAGTGTTTTGATAGGAGCTCAATAAATTTGTAAATGAATAAGCATTATAATTATAAATTGTTACTACTATTATTAATGTGGTGCTGGCAAGTAAATATCATTGAGCTGCATCCCCGACCCGTTTTAAATTGTTTTGAGATAGGATCTCACTAAGTTGCCAGGCTCACCTCAAACTCTGATTTTCCTACCTCAGCCTCTGAAGCAGCTGTGATTACAGGTGTGTGCCACCAGGCCCAGCCTTTTACAGCATTGGGGTGAGAGGTGTACCATTGCACCCAGCTATAAATTATTGATCTAATCATGTGATGAAACAGTAGTTTTTTTGTTTTTGTTTTTGTTTTTTTGTTGTTGTTGTTGGTTGAACTCAGGATCAAACTCAGGTCCTTGTGCTTGCAAGGCAAGCAGCGGAACCACTGAGCTAAATCCCAGGCAACACGGTAGTTTTTAATAAACATAATGTGTACACCTGGCTTGTTTGACAAGAAACTAAATTTTGACAAGTGCATTTTATGGAAGCTATTAAGCATTGATCCGAAAAGAGGTGTGTGAACAAAATTCATCCTCTCCTAAAGAATACTTTCCATATTAAAACACTCCATAGTGAAACAGGTCCGGTGACTTCTGAATTTCTAAGTCAAAACCAGCCTAAGCAACCACAGTTTTAAAAAAGGACTCAGAATCTAGTAGGAAAAACTTTATAATCAACTTGGTATGTGACTTTTTGCCCATGTCATTTAGCACCTTACAAAAAAGTGGACTCTAGCACTTGTGTGTCGCTTAGTTGATCTGTCTATTTATTGTGTGCCACTGCCGGAGATGGCTGTCTCTCTTCAAAGGAATGTTTGCTTTTTCAAACCATAGTCAAAGCTGCAGACTTAAGTCAGTAGAAAACAGGGATCATATCTGCCTTGTTTATTAAAATTTCTGTATATTCAGACACATAGGAGGTGTTCGATAAATAGTTGTTGGATGACTGAAAACATCATGGAAGAAGGGAGAGCAACAGAAGAAGGTATAAAAAATTTAAAACAAGGAAAAGTAGGTTGCCATTAGATAAAATAAAAGTATGGTGCTATCCTCAGATAAAAATATGTTATTATATTCTGTTACATACTGAGAGTCTCCTATAAACTCCTAAACTCCATAACGTTTCTGAGGGGATATCTGGGCTCATATCGTTTATAATCTAGCAGAGGCAGGGCATATGCTGGCATTGTGTGTGTGTGCCAGTACACACAGACACACACATCTCTGATTAAGTTGTATGCAGAAGTAGTTTGTGCAGTACTAAAAAAGAATGGGGCTACATATGAAATGAGGCTAATGGTGTGATTTGGGTAAAAAGTGCAAAGACTTAACAATGAGAAAGACTGATTTGAGAGGCAAAGTTTTCTAGAGAAAATGGGAGGGGCTTGAGTAAGGCGGAATCACAGATGTCACATGAGCCAAGATCAGAGTGAGTTTGGGATGTGGCTTAACTGAAGGGGAGATTAATATTGGGATACAGTGGAAAATAAGGTGGTGATCACATTTCAGGGAGAGCAGGAAATGGTCGTAAAAGTTTAAATCTGATACAACTGACATCAAAAAGGCATAACTTCTGGATTGGAAGCAAAGCTCAGTGGAGCACTTTCCTTGCCCAGGATGCCCAAGGCAGTGGGCTTGATCCCCAACACTACAAAACATATATAAAAATTTTTAAAAGCCATAACATATGCAGAGGGAAGTAACTTAATGGGGCTGTGCTTTGAAATTACTAGGTAGCAGCAAGCTGGAGGGCATTTCTCCCCCTAGGGCCAGAAAGGTAAAGAAAACAGATTCCTAGGATCAACACCACTTTTAGTTACCCTGTGATGTTCAGGTCACTGTGAAAGGTTTTACAATAGACAGCAATGGAAGATGGGAAATGCATTTGGTTTAGAATTCTCCCTTGAGAGATCTGGAAATGATCAAGAGAGATCCACCCTGCTGAATGGCCGCAGTCCTACCCAAATACACTCTGACCTCAAGCTTGGTCTGTGTAACTCTCATGTTCCATATAGTAACCGATCTATAATAAGGCAGAAGGTTTAGGTGTCTCATTCTTGGAAATGAGCCTTAGGTGACTAACATCTTGATACTTAGTCTAGCTTGTTTTCTTCATAGGGCATTGCATTCTGCTTTTCTTTAAAAAAAAAAAAACTCAAAGAATCCATAGGCTAAAGAGAGATACCCATGGTTGGTTGCCTCAGGCTTCCCAAGCAGTTCTCCTCCCAGGTCTTCATTAGCAGGTGGCATAATAGGGCATGGAATAGAAAGCAGAATGGGAGGAAGCAGAAGAAGGTAGATCATAATCTTCTTGAGATCAGGGACATTGTCTTTATCTTTGTATTTCAAGCTTTTAATACAATATATGTGTTGGATGAATGCTGGCTGGCTGAATAATATGTGTTTTGTTTCCTCATTGTCTTGTTCACACATAACATATCAACATCTCAAATACTCAAACACTAATCATTCCCTTATTTTCTGTTTCTTCCTACCTGTCTAATGCTAGCGCAGCTCTCATAAATCTATTCAAAGCACATGGAGCATTTACTGAGGTGCTTGGCATAATGTCAGGTAAAGAGGTTACAGATGTTGACCTTACCAAGTTCTGCTTACAGACTGAGACAATCCAGGATTGTTTATTTGGGGTGCCGAAAACTATATCTGCCTGTTTCCAGATTGTATCTTCTTAGCTCTTCACTTGAAAGCTA